TCCTAGGATTCTAGGATACTGGAATTCTCTAGTAACTTCCTGCCACACATAGTATTTCTAGTGTACTAATGTTCTCACAGTGTACTAGGGTTCTCTAGGACAGTGATTCTCAGCCTTCCTGATGCTGAGACCCTTTACTACAGTTCCTCATGTGGTGGTGACCTCCCTACCATAAAATTATTTTCGTTGCTACTTCATAACTAATTTTGCTACTGTGATGAATTGGGCAACCCCTGTGAAAGGGTCGTTCGACCCCCAGGTTGAGAACCGCTGCTCTAGTAGCTTCTTCAAAGCCCCTTCTTCATCTCATGTGGCCTCCCATACCCCACGCTCCTTCATGAGACCTTTCTGGCCTGGCTGTCTTTGGAATGCTTCAAGTTTACTCCCCACTCAGCCTTTACCCCTCCGTGTCCTCTGCGAACCGTCTCCCACATCTCCACACGGTTGGCTTCTCGGCTGAGTTTTCTGCTTGAGTGCTGTTTTGGTTGTGTATTGCTGTGTAACAAACAGCCCGAGTTGTTTCCAGGTAGGGCCTTATGCAACCATTTAACAGTCTCCTGCCTTTGTGAGTTGATTGGGCTCGACTGGGCCCAGATGGTTCCAGGAGACGTTGGCTGGGTTTGCTGGCTGTGGGCACCGGCTGCCAGCTGGGAACTTGGTGGAGCACCTCTCCGTGGCTTTTGCATGTGGCTTGGCCATCTCATGGGGTGACATTTGGGTATCAAGAGGGGTGTCCAGGTGTAAACATTCCGAAAGGATCCAGTGGAAGCCGCAGTCCTCGCCGAGGCTAGACTCTGAACCAGTGCGGCAGCACTTCTGCTGTGTTACTGTGGGCCGAAGAGCCCTGGTGGAGCTGTGGGTTAGGCGTTGGACTGCTAAGCACAAGCTCTGCAGTTCAAACCCACCAACTGCTCCACGGAGAAAGATGAGTCTGGCTGCTCAGTGAAGACTTTGTCTTAGAGCCCTGTAAGGGTCACCATGGGTTAGAATCAAGATGGCAGTGGGTTTAGTTTGGGTTTGAGGTTACTCTCAGAGCCCTTCCTTAAAATAGCCCCTATCATCATGCGTCTTTCCCATTGCCTTGCTTTATTTCTTTGTAGAATTCAGCACAATCGGAAATGATGTTATTTGCCGGCTTATTCCCTCCAGAAGGCAGGGTTCTTGAAGTCCTGGCTGGACTTGCTTCGTGTGCCCCTGTCACTCTGGGGCCTGGAGTGCAGGCAGTGCAGTGCCTGGAGCCCGGAGCTTCCCCCTAGCCGTGTTCTCATCGTCCCTTTCCCTTCCCCCATTCGTGCCCCCAGCCCAGGCTGGGGAGCACCTGTCCCACCGCTCTGCGCATGCTCTTTCTGTTCTTCCGGCCTCCTTGTTGGGCCCTCCTCTCCGCATGCAGGTTTTACCTCTGTGCAGAATGGGCACTTGATCTTTCTAAAATGTGCACTTGGTTTGAACTCTAAAATGAAGCTCCCATCAATACTCCTTTTTCCATTAAAGAACAACTAAAACACTTAAAATCACAGTTTTATAATGAAGAATACAAATCAGGACAGTATGAAGCTGAGAGCCACAGGGCGCGGTCCTTAGTAACCACTAATCTCCTCTCTGATCTCCAGATTTGCCTGCACGGCAGCGGGATCCGATGGTGGGTGGTCTTTTGCGAGTGCGTGGTGCGGTCATCTGTGGGGCGGCGGGACTCCGGACGTCCTTGCTCTGACGGCTCGGCATCCCGCGTGGGGACGAAGGAGCGCTCGCTGGTTGATGGGCATTGGCGTTGTTCCCCTTGGGCTTTTACGAGGCAGGCTGCCGCGGGCGTCCGAGCGCGCCCGTCTGTGTTTCCGCACCAAGGGCTTCCAGAAGCGGGTGGGAAATGAAAGGAAGAGCGGACGGGACTCGCCCCCTGCTTGGGAAAGCCCCCTCGTGCCTGGGTCGCGTTTGCAGACGTACCCCTAGGAGCAGAACTTCTGGATCCGGGGGGCCTGGTGTGTGCGTCTCCGCGCCACCCCTTCGCGCACATTCGGAAGAAAAGCGAGGTCGTACCGTCAGGAAGAAGTAGGTGATCCAGGTTTTAATGCACAGCCGTTCTTCTAAAACCCCACTCTGTCCCCTGTGTGTGCCGGCGCGTGCAGGATGCGGGGCCCCCTGCTCCTGTGCGGGTGTCTGCTGCTGGCCGCCGGCCGCGCGCGCGACGACGACTGGGTCGACCCCACGGACATGCTGCGCTACGACGCCGCGGCGGGGGCCATGCGGAAGGCGCCGCAGGTACGGGCTGCCTTCCGAACGCTTTCGTTCTGTGGGCGCACGAGCTCCTTTTTCGAAGCCCCTTCTCATAAATCCAAGCCATTTTGACGGCTTGCTAGATGAGCAAAATGACCAGCTTCCGTGTTGCAGGCGCGCTACGGTGTGTCGGAGGACGAGGGTGCCGGCCCCGACCCGTCGTGTGCCGAAGAGATGGCGGAGTGCTACCGCACGCTGGACTCCCTCACTCACAGGGTGAGTGCTTTTCTCCCGCGGGTTTTACGTCGTGTAGTTACGTGATGTCGGATGCTCCCATGTGCCTGCCTTTGTAAATGTCATTTTGTTTCTGTCGACTTTGTGTGTAAGTTTGTGGAAGACTTTCACCGTGGTTTTTTTCATGCCCTTTTTATACAAAGTTTCTTTTTCACAAGACTTTGCTTGACAGTGACAGAGTTACCATTACAAGAGTCTCTGCTTGTGCCACTCGGTGGCTGGCGTGGCTTGCATTCTTCAAGCTGCGCAAACAGCTCCACCATCTTTTGCCAAGTAGTTCCATCAGCACCAACTAAGACTCACGGTCCCCTCGGCTGCTCCTCCAGCCTTTGCAGCTGCGCGGCTGCTTTCATTGCCCAGAGTGAATTCCTCAAAGAGTAGATTGCTCAAGGCAGACATACTTATTAAGATAAAACGACCGTATCTTAATTCAAAGAAGACTTCAAATGATAGTATTGGCTTAGGGTTTAAAGTTTAAAGATTGTCTATCACAAGGCAATACTTTTGGGGTTCATCCAACCTCAATAACCCCAGAAAGTCTGGCTTCCTTTTAGAATTTGACATTCTATTTCACATTCTTCCTCTTTAGATCAGGATTCTTCTATTGAATGTTTGATGGAAGCAACCAGTACTTTTGCAGTCTCTGCTCTTCAAGATCCAACCGTGTACAGAATTCTCCTGGCATTTCACTATTTGCGTGCTCCCTTGTGGGTGTGAGCATGCAGACAAGGCACATGGGACCCTAATTGGGTATTGGTCATTTTTGCTATTCCATAGGGTATAATAAGGTGAGCCATCTCAGAGGTAGGACAGGAGAGTCCCACTGCCACCGAGAAAGAAGAATCAGGAGTAAAGTGTGTGTAAGCTCCCAGGGTGGAGAGGTAGCAGAGGAGATTCACCCAGACTGAGAGAGCGAAGCTGGGTGCCTTCAGGCAAGACACACCGGTTTGCAGAATAGGGGTTATAAATGCTAAGGGATCTTTGTGATATTCGCTTCAGCAAGGCAGGGGCCACGAAGCCATGTGCCCAAGCTGAGGACCAGAGAGAGGGTGCCTGCCAGCATGACTGGGCACAGGTGTTCCGCATGAAAGAATGATGTCCTCAATATTTCTGTTGGTGGCTTGTAGCCCAGTAACTTCTCTAGTAAGCCTAATCACCATGAGTTTTGTCTGTGAGTTCTTTGTAGCCACAGCAAGGGATCATTGACCCCAACAAGCAGAAAGGGATTGTGCAGTGGGGAGGGATGGCTGATGTCAGAAGAGGGGAAAGACGTATGGCGGAGAAAGCATCTCTGACCTCCGCCTCTTAGGACGCCCCCTTGGACAGATGAACGTTGGGTTCTCCTGCCCCCTTGGGGAGGAGGGGGACTTCAGATGTGGCCTCGTGTCATTTCCTCAGCAGATGTTGATGGTTGAGGGCAGAAGGGATGAGGGACGGGAATTAGAGTGAATGAATGATCTTCATCATGATCCATGTATAGCTCAGTTAATGCCTGTGACTACCAAGTGTGGGTGTTTGCTGAGGGCTAGCCAAGAAATGTTGGATGAGACTTGCCCCTGTTGAAGTCAGTATTCTGATGTACAGAGGTAATCTGGTTGCTCGTAAAACACACAAATGCCCTGAAACTGTTGTCCTGAGATAACTTTTTAGCAAAAAGTACTCCTGAAGTCTCCTTAAAACCAAACCGTAGTTTGACATAGCTAGTGAGAGGTCAGCCTTGAGCAGGATGCGCAGGGTGCTCAGCGCAGAGCGGCACCAGCGAGGGCAGAGAAGAACCTTAGTGGGCAGCGAGCTTCTGTGCAGGGGCAGGACGGTCTGGCAAAGAGGCTGAGAGTGCTTGGCCTCTGGATGGTATAGTCTCAACAGTGACAGCAGCAGCAACAACATTTTTAAGTGCAAATCACTGTTTACAGAAACTTTTCATTCTGTTTGTGACTTTGGTTCAAACACTGTAAAGGAGATGATTGTTAAAATGGAGTCCTGAGTCTTTTTTTTAAAAAGTTTTTCTTGAAGATTTACAACATAAAATGGTTTCTAAGCTTTGCTTCGAAGCAGAGGAAGCACCCCGCCCCCCAGTCCCTCTGCCCCCATCACTGTCATGCTTGTCCGCCTGGCCCACCGCCCGTATACAGTCACAGGCCTGTCGCTGTCCTTACTCGGCCCCGCCTGCTGGGGCAGGACCAGAGCCCTAAGTGAGCTCCAAGGGCTGTGGGTGGGGGGTTGCCGGGGTCCCTGCCTTCCTGCAGCACAGCATGGAGCAGGGGAGGGCCGGTCATTGACACAGAATTAACAGAGGCCCAAAGTCATGTGCGCCTTTGGGACATTCTTTGCTCTGTCCCTAATCTTCTGAATTCATCCTGTGTGTTGTATTGTTTATCTTCTGTCTATCCACTTACACATAATGGATATGCATTAAAATGTTTTCTTAGAATCTTGACTCTGGCACTTGGAAGGGGCAGATTGATGTAGCAATTCTGCTGCTTCGTGGTCCGGAAGTCTGGTCCTCCTGTCAGGCTGCTGGGAGACGAAGTCTGTCGGGCCAGGGCTTAGTGTTGCTGGACAGGCCACCACCTTGCTGTCCGTAGCCACCACCTTGTCCTTTGCAGAGAGAGCCCGGGGCCTCCAGGCTGCAGGCTCGCCTCTGCGTGGTCGCCGCCCAGTGCAGCTGATCCTCACCGTGAGGTTGGGACTGCTCGCCGCGACGTTGACCCTCACATCAGACTGTGCTGCTTACCCACCTGAGTGCATTTTGTGATTTCAGATCGGCGACTGTGAAAAGAAAAAGAGGGAGGAGTATGAAAGTCAGAGCAACCCTGTCTTTAGGAGATACCTAAATAAGATTTTAATCGAAGCCGGGAAGCTTGGACTTGTGAGTACTTGGCAGTGGTGATACGAACGAGCATGGGGGTGTTTCACTTTGTATTCGTCCCACGTCACGCGAAGCAGTGACGAAGCGCCCTGGCAAGAGTGGAGGACACGCTGAGGGAGCCTTTGTCCCGAGCTGCTGGTCCAGGGCTACTGGGAGCTGCCAGCTGCTCCCAGGGCCTTGGGGAGGCACATGCGGCCGGGCTGGGAAGTTTCTCCAGATTGGGCCCCTGGACCGCTTGGCTGATTGA